AAATAATCTTTAATTATTTAAATACGACACATACTATAGAGTTCCGAAGCTAGAATACTTCTAGTAACTCTCCTATATTTAGTAAAGAACTAGTAGATAATATTAGTATATCTAGTTCCGTTTACTAGAACTATAATATATCCGATTTGGGAAAAGAGATCTCTATTATTTGCGAATAAAGCATTCGTAAAAATAATTAAATATAAGAACTCTTTTACTAGTTTTACGAATCTTAGTTCTTTGGTAGTATTCTTAATTTGCTATTAAACGCGCTTATTAAGTGCCTTTATATTAGTTTCCGAGGGTTTAATAGCTTAAGTAATAATTAATAGGTTATATAAAGCTTCTGGTTAATAGACTAATATAATATATACTTCTCTAGTATATTAGGTAATATATTAGTTCTTAATAGAGAGATCTTAACGAATAGTGCCCCTATTACTTATAGTAATAGTATTCTTTATAGAAATGATTCGGAGGTTTTTATACTAGTATTTCTATATAAAAGTAATTCTAGTAATATTTATATAGATAATATCTCTATTAAACTTGAGATTATAGTTAATAGTAAGGCATTTATATTCCTTGGCCAAGAACTTAGCCTCTTAGAGCTTTAGTTATTTTATCTTTACAAAATTATTATTTCTAATAAATAGGGTATTATTAGTTTAAAGGCTAATAATTCCGAAGAGTTACTTGCTATAGAGGAGGCAAGAGTTATAAGTTAATTATTTTATAAAAAACTCATTAATATAATAGGAATAGTAAGTCTTAAACTAGTAGTTCCTAGCTTCCGATATATTATATAATGGTTTTATAACCTTTAAACCCGAATTATTATTTAGATTTAGCTCTCTAGTAAGCTTATAAGATGGGTTAATATAAAAATTACAGTTAAATAAGGTTATTAATTAGATATAAGCTTGCAAGATATTATATAAATATAGTTCTATAGTATCTATTATTATAGTAATAATACTAAGAATAATTCTCTGGCTAATATATTAAATAATAGGTAATTATATTAATATTATATGTTTTTTACCGTTATTATAAGCCTAGATAACTAGTTTTAACTTCTTAAACTCTCTCTTTATACTCTTATTCTTAATCTTATTAATAAACCGGAAGTTAAAGATACGTATTTCCTTTAGTATCTGAGATCTAGAAATAACCTCAAATATGTCCTTTTCTAGAAGACTAGCGACTTTAGCTTAACTGGAGTTCTTATATAGGTTATTATCTTATAGAAATACTATAATATCCGGGTTCTTATAAGGGTATTCTCTATTATACTTTAATAAAATAGCAGGAATAGCAGGAGAAATCATACCTGTATTACCTTTGGCCTTATTATAGAGTTCGGGAATAGGTTTAGGTTCGGGGCCATTAGTAATAACTTTAATATTTCCTATATAAAAGGGCTTTATAGAGATTAAACAGAAGGTAGTATTACTATATAGTAGAGCTAGTATATAGTTTTCCCTATTAATAGCTACTAGCTTATATGGCCTATCCCAACTTCCAGATTAACCGGTATTTTCTTTATATTATATAAAAACATCCGAATTTAAGAGAAGTTCGTAAATATTAGTAGTACTAGGACTATTTCGGGTATTTAAGGTATTCGTAATCTAGTATCTAGCTTAAAGCTTCTGAATTTCCACTATTGCTTTCTTAAATGCCGCTAATTACTATAATATAGTTAGTAATAAGGTATTATATTTGGTTATTTGAGATAAAGTACTATAAACCAAGAGAATTAGGATAATACTATTAGGTCTAGCGGAATTATTAATGGCCTTAAAAGCTATTTAGAATACGGTATCCTTATTAATTCTATTAATTTTGGCTATAATAATAAGATAAGCATATTAAATCGGGCTATAGTAATATTTTATAATTCTAATAAAACTATAAGCTTTTACGGGAATGATTTTGATTTTAGTTCTTATAGTATTTATAAGCTAAATAAACTTCTTACTAGTAAACTACTTTCTAGTATCTGCTATAATCTAATTAGGAGGGCCTAAATAGGTATTAATCTAATATTACTTTAGGGTATTTCAAGTATATAATATACTAATATTTTAAAGTTATTAGCTAGTTTAATATCTAGTACCTTTATTAATAATATAAAGTATAGGCTTACTAGAAATATAGAAAATATTAATAATAATAGAGTAGTTAAAGCTAATATTATTTCTTAGATTAAACTTAAATTATTCTAGTAATTATCCGAATTTCTGGTATTACTTATAGTACTTTATAAGGTATTTAAGGGCTTTTATATTAATATTATAGCCTGCTTATTCTAGTATATTTCGAAGCTTACTAATAAATAAATAACTAAAATAGTAATATAGATATTATAATTTGACTTTTATAAGAAAACAAGGGTTATAAGTAAAGAATTCGGAAATAAAGCTTTATATAGTAGTATTCTAAAGCAAGAAAGAGTATTTAAAACATTATATTATAGGTATAAAGCGTTTATTAGAAATAATGAGATAATTAGTAAGATTATTAAAGTAGATTTCTAGCTTATTTATATTAGCTAAGCTAAATAAAAATAGAGTTTTTATAAGTATAATATAGAATAATACTTGCCTAATTAGTATTCTTACTATTATAGATCTAATAAAGGATATAGATCCGATACTAAACTAGATATTAACTTGATTTTTAGTAGTTTTATTAAGTTAGATACTATTATTAGTCTGCTATAAAGCTTGGAATTAGTTAGAACTAGTAGTTAAAAATCTGGAGGCTCTGGTATTAATTATGACTTTATAAAAGTAATAAGTATTATATCTTAATATACTATTAATTATAAATATCTGGGTGTCTTTTATTTATTTAATAGACTCTAAAATATGGTTTTCGCCTATTATCTAGTATATAAGAGAAAGAGAAATAAGATTATCTATAAGGATATTAGTTATAGGGATAATAGGAGTAAGGGCTATAGAAGTAGCTAGGAAGCTCTTAATAGAAGTAAAATAGGAATTAGAGTAATATTTCTTTCTTTTATCTATTTCCGCTAGTAAGGTTTTAAAAGTATTATTTACTAGTTTGTTCTTATTACTCTCGTTATTTTCTTCTCTTTCAAATTCGGTAATATACTATATATAAATTTTTTTTTTTTTTCTTTTAATATACTTTATTAGTTTAGAACTATATAGTACGGCTAGCTAGCTAGTATATGTCTCAGTAGCTAATATACAGGCCCAAAATCCAATATAGGTATAATAAATAGTTAGGGACATATCCCTAGAATAAAAACTTAAGGAAATAAAGAAAATGAGTATAAATCGCAAATCCTCTCCTATTCCCTATTTCTCTTTTCCCCTATTTCCCTTCTCCTATTTCCTCTCCTATTTCCTCTCCTATTTCCTCCCCTATTTCCTCCCCTATTTCCACTTCCTCTACTTCCACGCTTCGCTCAATATACTATTTTCTTATATATATACTAGTTTCTTTTAAGAATACTAGTATATTTAATATCCCAATTTCCGTATATAATAGTAACCATAAGTTAAAAGTACTAGCTTCCAGGCTCCCTTTAAATAGACTAAATAGTCTAAAACGTTCCTCCCTATATAGTATATAATATAGAAGGAGGTGCTTTATATTCTTAGTTTTACTACATTTGTATTTATTATTAGATACTATTTTTAGCCTATATAAATAGGACTTTAAATATCCGTGGCCTAGCTTTAGCTAGAAGAATGTACTAGCTATAGGCCTAAGTATTCCTATAAGTAGGTTTATTTTTCTATATACTTTCTATAAATATATATTACTATACGATTCTAGCTAGGTTTTCGGTTTAGTATAAGATTCTAAAAGTAGTCTATACTCTAGTTTCTTAACTTTATTAATTTCAACCCCTAGAAAAGCAAAGGAGGTTTTTACTAATTCAGGTTCTAATATAGGAGAAGTAGTACCTAGCTTAGCTAGTATATCTACTTCTTTATTTCCTATTATATCCGTATATCCTGGAACCCAGATTAGTTCTATATTAGCTCCTTTAGCTTTAAGGGCCTTAGTAGCTAATATATCTCTAATCTATTAACTTTAACCGGGCTTATTAGAAGGAGTTTTTAGTCTTAGTAAACTAGCTTAGTTATCTATATAGATATTAAAAAGCTCTCCTCTATTTGCTTTATTACTAGTATATTTAATAGCCCTAGTAATGCCTTCTAGTTCTCTGTTATAGACTATAGTACTAGCTTCTATATTCTGGCTTTCTCTATATTTAGCTATAACCGGAATATAAGGAGTTTCGTGACTATAAACTACAAGCCCTAGGCCTACTCCGATTCCTTTTTTAGTTTGAGATCCATCTATATATATAAATAGTATAGAGCTACTATTATATAAAGTCTTTAGGTAGAAATTATATAATATAGTAGTCTCTTCCTTTGGCTTTTTTAATATAGTAATTTTATAAGGCACTTCTCTATCCCAGGAAGTAAAATAAAAGTGTCTTATAGTTTCTAGATCTCTAGGATCTACTAGATTACTAATAGAATCTACTATAGTTTCTATTTGAGACTTTTTAGCCAAGTAATCTCGCTTTAGATTAGTATTTAGACTATAAATAAAGTCTATATTAGATTCTATTACTTCTAAATCTCTAGATCTTTGGAAGAACTTCTCGAACTCTAGTCTAATAGGGTGTTTTAGACTTAGTTTAAGGATACGGAAAGCATATTAACGTCGACTATAGTTTAGCCTTATAATAGGTGAAACTAAAGCTAATTCGCACAGTCCCCCCGGTTTTTTTTACCCCCCTTACTTTTGCACCCACACTTCACCCACCTTCAGAACTCACTCCATACACTTCAGCCCTTTAGCCCCAGGCTCTAGAACCTACTATAAGTAGAGCTAGAGCAGGCTAAATGGCCCCTCCTGACCCCCCGGGCTCCAGCCCCCCCACGACAGACCCCCAAGACCTCGGAGAGCTTCCAGAGGGCCCTACGGATTAACTAGACCTACCTACTACCTCCCCACTAGCTCGGTTCAGCCAGGGAGCTCAATTCGCATTCGATTTAGCTACAAATCCCATCTCTTCAGACGAACTCGCAGCCCCTTTTCCTCAGCCTAATTCGGCTAGTGCGGCTCGACTGAGCCGCCTCCAGAACGGGCTAAAGCGTGGCCCTAGCTTGAGCGATATTGATAGCGATATCGATAAGGAATACCAAAACCACGGAAACCACCACTAATATCAGAATCAAGCTTTGAATGAAGCTAAATTACTGATTCGTTAAGCCCGGGACTTAATAGTCAAAGCTATTACTATTACTCCGTCACATGACCAGTAATCTCGACTACTAGATTTAGTAGAAATCTTCAGAGAATACACTGAATTCGGCCGTATCCGCCATACTAGTACTTTACTAGCCTCTCAGGTAGCGAACCTCGAAAATGCTACTAAACGGATCGAAATTCAATCAAGAACTCAAGCTAAACTAGCTACTCAAGCTACTAAAGCTACTCAAGCTCAAGCTACCACCTCTGGAAAGCCTACTTGGGCTAAAATCGCTACTCAAGAACCACAATCTCACTCGGAAAAGGACTGGACTATAGTATCACATACTAAGTCCAAAAATCAGGGAGGAAAAGGCCCTAGTACACTTATTAGTGGCGGTAGTGCTCGTGACACTAATAAACCACCTAGTGGTTCTAGTGCTCGTGACACTAGTACAAAATCAATGGCCCTCTCTAGGAAAAGCACCTTCCTACTAGCTCATATGGAGCAGGCTACTTCCTTTTCAGCTATTTCCGTCCGCAATTTGCTTAATAATGCTTTCCGCGCGAAGGGGATCAAGGGACTAGTAATCTCTACGGTCTCTCTTTCCTCAAAGGGTAATATTATAGTAAATACTACCCCTGAGTTCAACTCTGACTTTTTGGTTCAAAATGAAGCTACTATAAAGGGGGTGCTTCCCTTAGTTACAAGCGTATAAAAAGGAGAACCCTGGTATAAAGTTATTATCCACGGTCTACCTATTCGGGAGTTCGATACGTCTGAGGGAATGGACTTAGTCCTAGAAGAGATCAAGACCTTTAATAAAGGACTAGAGCCTATTGGCCAGCCTTATTGGGCCACTTCTAAGGAAAAGAGAGACTCAGGACTCCAGCGAGCTGGTTCAGTAGTAGTGGCATTCCCTACCGAGGCTCAGGCTAATAGAGCTATTAAAAATAGACTCCTTATAGCCGGAATCTCTGCTAAGGTAGTAAAATATCATACTATCTCTAGCACTGCACAGTGCACTAGGTGCGCAGGGTATGGGCACTTAGATTCCATATGCAAAAAAGAACCTAAGTGTTTACTATGTGGTGAGGGTCACGTGACTGAGAACCATTTTTGCTCTATCTGTAAAAAGAAGGGTAAAAAATGCCCACACGTGACCACCAAATGCTCTAATTACTTAAGTACTACCCACTCAGCTAGTTCTAAGCTATGTGAGGTTTACTTAGCTATTAAAAAAGCTACCACTACCACGATTCCTACTATTACTATTAATGAGTAGCTACGTCAAAGTACTACAAGTTAATGTGAATCGTAATAGCTCTACTACTGAAAACGTCTTGCAAACAGCTATAGAACTGGATATTAAAGTCCTAGTAATCCAGGAGCCTTGGGTAATAGCAAGGGATAGTAATAATAGGAAATATCGTTCCATTATACACTCTAGCTATTACCAAATACTCCCGAATTACGGTACCTTGAGACCTAGAACCTTATTTTATATAGCTCGCGAACTGCAAGCTAGTCTAGCCTCAAACTCACCAAGTGATCCTGATTGCTTAATTATAGACTTAAGTCTAGGTGCACTAAAAATGCAGCTAATTAATTTCTATAATGCAGTTCACCCAGAAGACCCTAATAGTATATTAACTATATTAAGAGAGGATATTTTACCTACTACTCTCTTAGATAGTACTCTATTACTAGGTGATTTTAATACACATTATCCTTGGTGGGATCCCCTTAAAAAACCTCAAAGCACTCATGCTATTCATTTAATTAGCTATATAGAGAATTACTCTTTAAGGCTATTAAATAAACCAGGGGAAGGTACCTTCTATAGACCGAATATGTCCATTCCTTCCGTATTAGACTTAAGTTTTGCTACTAGTGGAATAGTAACTAAGATTAAGGACTGGCAAGTGCTTCCAGACTTAGGTTCTAATTACTTCGGGGTTCTATTTACTATTAGTAAGTCGACTTATAGCTCTAGTTCTACTCCAGTCAGATTTAATACTAAGAAAGCAGACTGGGCTAAATTTACAAGCTATCTCATTAATAGTCTTAATAATATGCCCTTTCCACTTAATAGTACAAATCAAGAACTAGATCTATTAGCTGAAGACTTTATAAATAGAATAGTAGAAGCGGCTAGTAATAGTATTCCAAAATCTACTACTAGTCCGTATTCGAAACCCTGGTGGAATGAGGACTTAAAGACTTTACGTAAATCCATGCTATATTATAGCCATAAGTCTAAAGCCTTAGGGCACACTCTCTATAAATAAGAACTCCAGAATGCAAAAAACACCTATTTTAATGCTATTAAAAGCACTAAGCTAGCGCACTGGAATAAGTTCTTAGAGAATGAGGATTCCCAGTCGATTTACAAAGCTATGAAATATACTAAAGATACTATGTACCAACCTATTCCTAGTATCTTAAATAGTAATAGAGAGCTTAAGTCGACTTTCCAAGATAAGTGTGATATCTTTAGAACCGAGCTTTTTCCACTACCTCCTCATACTGAGCCTATTAGTCTAATAAACTATAGGCCTAGTTCAAAGTGGGAATGGCCTATTTTATCTAAAATAGAGCTAGAACAAGCTTATACTTCTAAGATAAAGGGGAAAACCCCAGGACCAGACTTAGTTACTCAAGAGATTATAGTCCACGCTTATAGAGCTGCTCCAGACATTTTTTATAGGCTATATTCCTTATTTATTAATAAGGGATACCACCCTAAAGTCTGGAAACAAGCTACTGGCTTTATTCTAAAGAAATCAGGAAAACCAAACTATTCCCTACCTAAAGCATATCGAGTTATTTCCTTACTTAATTGCTTAGGGAAGGTTTCTGAGAGAATATTAGCTAGGAGACTTAGCTATTTAGCCGAGACTAGTACCCTATTACACCCCTCTCAAATGGGAGGTAGGCTATATAAGTCAGCTATCGATGCCGCTTTACTACTACAAAATGAAGTAGAAGCTAATAAGTCCTATAAGCTGAAAACTAGTACCCTCTTTCTAGATGTCAAAGGAGCCTTTGATCACGTGTCCAAGAATAGGCTATTACAGATCATGATTAGTTTACTACTCCCTACTAGCCTTATTCTCTGGGTATCGTCGTTCTTAGATGACCGGGTATTAAGACTAGCTTTTGATAATAGTATCGAAGTCTTTAAGTCTATACTTACTGGCATTCTACAAGGGAGCCCTATATTACCTATATTATTCCTTATTTATATCAGAGACTTATTTAAGTCAGCAAATATCAGATTCGGTTCTTATTTAGACGATATAACCCTTACTACTGCTTCTAAAAGTCTTAAACAAAATATAAAGACTTTAGAAAGAGAAGTAAAGGATATATACGAGCTAGGAACGAAGAATGCTATTAGCTTTAATATGGATAAAACTGAGCTTATTCACTTTAATAGTTCTAAGAACAAGCCTAGCTTAAAGCTACCTAATGGAGCCTTAGTCTCTCCAAGTAAAGTAGTTAAATGGCTAGGGATCTATTATAACGAAAAGCTCAGTTTTAAGAAACATATAGCCTTTAGGGCTTCTAAAGCAAAACAAGCCTTCTATAGGGTACAAAGACTCACGAACATATCACGTGGTTTATCTCCATTTGTAATTAGACAGCTATATTTAGCCTGTATTACTAGTGTAATAGACTATGGTTCCTTATTATGGTGGAAGACAGAAAACAAAGCTCAAATTAGGTCTTTACAAGCTATTCAGAACCTAGCCCTAAGGAAAACTTTAGGAATATTTAAATCAGCTCCTATTATCCCTATGGAGGTCGAATCAGCTTTAGTCCCCCCTATTATAAGGCTAAACCATAGTCGTCGTCGATATGCCTTTCGTATCCTTAAATATAGCCTAAAACACCCAGTTAGGCTAGAGTTTGAGAAGTCCTTCCAAAGATCTAAGCAATTAGAATCTATAGACTCTGATATAGACTCCATATATAGTCTAAATACTGATCTAAAGCGAGATCGTATGGCTAAAATGTCTCAAGTTGAAGCTATAGTTGATTCTATTAAAGACCTTATAGACCCTAAGGACTTAGAACCTATAAGACACTTCTATTTTGCCCCCTGGGATAAAGAAGTACCTTACAAAATCACTATATCGAGACAGCCTAAGGAAGAGACTGCTATATTACATAATCTCTATTTAAAGACTTTATATAATAATAGCTCCATATAGTCTATATATACAGATGGATCTCAAACTCAAAAAGGAGACGGAATAGGCCTAGGGCTCGTTGTTTATAGTCACGAAACTCCCTATATTCCGGTCGTAGCTAAACATAGAGAAAGCCAGAATATAGGAGCTAGTGCTATAGTCTATAATAGAGAACTAGAAGGCGTCACTAGGGCTATTGAATACGCTAGCAGTAAAGCAAAGAGAGGGGAGCTTTTTAATATCTATACAGATAACCAAGCTGGTTTACTGAGACTAAAAACTCCTTCTGATAAGCCAGGACAAAGCCAACAGATTAGAGCTATATTAGCTACTAAGGCCCTTAAAGCTAAAGGAGCTAATATAGAACTAATCTGGGTCCCAGGGCACACAGATATAATAGGGAACGAAGAAGCAGACGAACTAGCTAAGCTAGGCACTACTTCCCCTATATTAGAACCTGAATCAGTAAAAACCTCCTTTGCTTTCCTAGGGGTTAAAATTAATAAAGTTAAGAAACTAGAGTATAGACTACTCCTAGAATCTTATACTAAACCGAAACCCTACCAGCTAGAATCGTATAGCAATATATATCCGTGGAAAGTGTCTAAAAGGATTAACCTACCTTTAGGAACACTTAGGCCCCTAGCTAGTGCCTTTTTCCAGCTAAAGCTAGGTCACGGATATTTAAAGTCCTATTTATACAGGCTAAAAATAGTGTCTAATAACAAATGCAAATGTGGCAAAACTGAGAATGCAAAGCACCTCCTTTTATATTGCGAGCTATATAAGGAGGAACGAATTAGACTATTTAGTCTATTCAAAAGTAGCTTAGACGCTAGTGCTTTTAACCTACGGGTTCTATTACATACGGAGATTGGTATACCAAACACACTAGTATTCTTAAAAGAGACTAGTATATGTATAAGGAAATGGCATATTGAGAGAAACGAGGAGGAAGTAGAGGAAGCAAGAGTAGTGGAAGAAGTGGAGAGTGAGGTAGAAAGTGAGGAAAGTGAGGAAAGTGACTGGGAGCTATGGGAGGAAACTGAGGAAACTGAGGTGGAGGTGGAGGTGGAAATAGGAGAAGGGGAATAGTAAAAGGGGAATAGCGATTAGTGGAGGAATTCGCGATTTATACTCATTTCTTTATTTCCTTAAGTTTTTGTTTTACTGGGTACGTCCCTCACTATTTATTGCACTCATATTGGAATTTGGTACTGTATATTAGCTACTGAGACTCACGCTAGCTTAGCTAGCCGTGCTACATAGTTCTAAACTAATAAAGCACGTTAAAAGGAAAAAAAAAAAAAAAAAAATAAAGCTAATTCGACCTCTATAGGAATAATAGGAGCAGTTTTAAATACTTCTAGGGTTTTCCTTAGGGCTAGGTTTTGAATTGCCTATAAAGGCCGAATTTGAGCTTTGCTTTTAGTCTTCTACTATAGTATAGAACTATAGTCTATTATACTAGTAATATAGGCTAAATATAGCTGTCTAATTATAAAAGGAAATAAGCCACATAATATATTCATAAGTCTTTATATTCTATAAAAGGCTTATTTTGCTTTGGATATCCTATAGGCTATATATTTCTTAAATCTGAGATTTTCATTGAAATAAATCCCTAGCCATTTAACTACTTTACTAGGGGAAACTAGTTCCCTATTAGGTAGTTTTAGACTAGGCTTATTTTTGGAATTATTAAAATAAATAAGCTCTATTTTATCTATATTAAAGCTAATAGTATTCTTTTTCCCTAAGTTAACTATATTCTTTACTTCCCGTTCTAGGGTCTTTATATTCTTTTTAAGACTTTTAGAAGCAGTAATAAGAGATATATTATCTAAATAGGATCTGAATTTAATATTTACTAACTTAAATAAGTCTCGGATATAGATAAGAAATAATATAGGGAATATAGGGCTACCTTATAAAATACTAATAAGTATAGACCTAAATACTTCTATACTATTATTAAAAGCTAGTCATAATACTCGGTTATCTAGGAATAATAATACCCAGAGAATAAGGCTAGTAGGTAGTAGTAAACTAATTATAATCTGTAATAGCCTATTCTTAGATATATAATTAAAGGCGCCTTTAATATCTAGAAAGAGAATACTAGTTTTTAGCTTATAGAACTTATTTAATTCTATTTCATTTTATAATAGTAAAGCAATATTAATAGCTAACTTATAGAGTCTACCTCCCATTTAGGAATAATATAATAGGTTACTAGTCTCGGCTAAATAGCTAAGTCGCCTAGCTAGTATTCTCTCAGAAACCTTCCCTAAGTAATTAAATAAAGAAATAACTTAATATACTTTGGGTAGGAAATAGTTTGGTTTCCCTAATTTCTTTAGAATAAAGCCAGTAGCTTATTTCCAGACTTTAGGATAGTATCCCTTATTAATAAATAAGGAGTATAGCCTATAAAAGATATCTAGAGAAGCTCTATAAGTATAAACTATAATCTCTTGAGTAACTAAGTCTAGTTCAGGGATTTTCCCTTTTATCTTAGAAATATAGGCTTATTCTAGTTCTATTTTAGATAAAATAGGCCAGTCCCACTTTGAGCTAGGCCTATAGTCTATTAGACTAATAGGTACTATAATAGGAGGGGGTAGGAAAAGTATAGTTCTAAAGATATTATACTTCTTTTAGAAAGTCAATTTTAGCTTATTTAAACTATTATCTAAGATACTAGAAATAGATTAATATATAATATCTTTAGTATATTTTATAGCTTTAAAAATCGACTAGAAGTCTTTATTCTCTAAGAACTTATTCCAGTATACTAGCTTAGTATTCTTAATAGTATTAAAATAGGTGTTTTTTGTATTTTGGAGTTCTTATTTATAGAAAGTATATCCTAAAGCTTTAGACTTACGGCTATAGTATAGCATTAATTTATATAAGGTCTTTAAGTTCTTATTTTACTAGGATTTAGAATACGAACTAGTAGTAGATTTTGGAATACTATTACTAGCTACTTCTACTATTCTATTAGTAAAGTCTTCTACTAATAGGTCTAGTTTATAATTTCCAGGTATACTAGTAAGTAGAAAGAATATATTCTCAAGGCTATTAATAAGATAGCTTATAAATTTAGTCCAGTTCGCTTTCTTAGTATTAAATCTGACTGGATTAGAACTAGAGCTATAAGTCGACTTACTAATAGTAAATAGAACCCCGAAGTAATTAGAACCTAAGTCTAGTAATACTTACTAGTCTTTAATCTTAGTTACTATTTCACTAGTAGTAAAACTTAAGTCTAATACGGAAGAAATAAACATATTAGGTCTATAGAAAGTATCTTTCTCTGGTTTATTTAATAGCCTTAGAGAATGGTTCTCTATATAGCTAATTAAATAAACTATATAACTACTTTAAAGTTTAAGGGAATCTTATTAAGGATAATATATATTAAAATCACCTAGTAATAAAGAGCTATTATAAAGAATAGTAAGTAAAATACTTTCTCTTAATATAGTCAATATATTATTAGGGTCTTCTAGGTAAATTATATTATAGAAATTAATTAGCTGCATTTTTAGTATATTTAGACTTAAGTCTATAATTAAGTAATCAGGATTACTTAGTAAGTTTGAGGCTAGACTAGCTTGCAGTTCGCAAGCTATATAAAATAGGGTTCTAGGCCTCAGGATACCGTAATTCGGGAGTATTTGGAAATAGCTAGAGTATATAATAGAATAATATTTCCGATTATTACTATCTCTTACTATTACTTATAGTTCCTGGATTACTAGGACTTTAATATCCAGTTCTATAGCTATTTATAAAACATTTTCAGTAATAGAGCTATTATGATTTATATTAACTTATAGTACTTTAATATAGCTACTTATTAATAGTAATAGTAGGAATTATAATAGTAGTAGCTTTTTTAATTACTAAATAAACCTCATATAGCTTAGAACTAGCTAAATAGGTAATACTTAAGTAATTAGAGCATTTAATAATTATGTAAGGGCATTTTTTGCCTTTCTTTTTATAGATAAAGCAAAAATAGTTCTTAGTTATATAACCCTCACTATATAGTAAGTACTTAGGTTCCTTTTTATAAATAGAATCTAAGTGCCCGCATCCTATATATCTAGTATACTATATAGTACTAGAAATAGTATAGTATTTTACTACTTTAGTAAAGATCCCGGCTATAAGAAGTCTATTTTTAATAGCTCTATTAGCTTAAATCTCGGTAGGGAATACTACTACTACTAAACCGGCTTACTAGAGGCCTAAGTCTCTTTTCTCCTTAGAAATAGCCTAATAGGGCTGGCTAATAGGCTCTAGTCCCTTATTAAAGGTCTTGATTTCTTCTAGGACTAAGTCTATTCCTTCGGGTATATTAAACTCATGAATAGGTAGACCGTAAATAATAACTTTATACTAAGGTTCTCCTTTTTATATACTTATAACTAAGGAAAGTACCCCCTTTATAATAGCTTGATTTTGAACTAGAAAGTCAGAGTTAAATTCGGGAGTAGTATTAACTATAATATTACCCTTTGAGAAAAGAGAAACTATAGAGATTACTAGTCCCTTAATTCCCTTAGAGCAGAAAGTAGTATTAAGCGAATTACGAATAGAAATAGCAGAGAACAAGCTAGCCTGCTCTATATAAGCTAGTAGAAAGGTGCTTTTCCTAGAGAGGGCCATAGATTTCGAGCTAGTATTACAAGTACTAGAACTACTAGTATTACGGGCACTAAGTGATTTATTAGTATTACGAGCACTACTACTACTAGTAAGTATACTAGGGCCTTTTCCTCCCTGATTTTTGGACTTAGTATATAATACTATAGTCTAGTCCTTTTCCGAGTAAGATTGTGGTTCTTGAGTAGCGATTTTAGCCCAAGTAAACTTTTCGGGGATAGTTTTAGCTTGAGTAGCTAGTTTGGCTTGAGTTCTTAACTAAATTTCGATCCGTTTAGTGGTATTTTCGAGGTTTGCTACCTGGGAGGCTAGTAAAGTACTAGTATAGCAGATACAGCCGAATTCAGTATATTCTCTAAAGATTTCTACTAAATCTAGTAGTCGAGATTACTAGTCATATAACGGAGTAATAGTAATAGCTTTAATTATTAAGTCCCGGGCTTAACGAATTAGTAATTTAGCTTCATTTGAAGCTTAATTCTAATATTAATAGTAGTTTCTATGGTTTTAGTATTCCTTATTAATATTACTATTAATATCGCTCAAGCTAGGGCCACGCTTTAGCCCGTTCTAGAGGCGGCTTAGTCGAGCCGTACTAGCTGAATTAGGCTAAGAAAAAGGGGCTGCGAGTTCGTCTAAAGAAATAGGATTTATAGCTAAATCGAATGCGAATTAAGCTCCCTGGCTAAACCGAGCTAGTAGGGAGCTAGTAGGTAGGTCTAGCTATTCGCTAGGGCCCTCTGGAAGCTCTCCGAGCTCTTGAAAGTTAATGGGAGGGGGGCTAGAGCCCGGGAAGTCAGGGGGGGCCATTTAGTCTATTCTAGCTCTACTTATAGTAGGTTCTAGAGCCTGGGGCCAAAGGGCTAAGGTATATTGAGTGAGTTCTAAAGGTGGGTAAAGTGTGAGTATAAAAGTAAGGGGAGTAAAAAAACCGGAAAAAAAATGTTTTTGACTATATATAAATATTACTAAAGCATTTATTGAAATTGCGGGTATTTTGGGATCTAAATTAGTAAATATTTCTATTCTTAAATTAAGCCTTCTTAATCTCTTATTTCTCTAGTATATATTTCTATAAGTAATATTCGGGTCTCTTATATATAAAACATAACTTCGGAGTATAATTATTACGATTACGGAGCTTGAAGTAGTTATTACGGGTTCTGAAGTTATAGCTAGGTCCGTATTAATAATTTCCGGACGGGCGGTAGTTTAGAGAGTTTTAAGAATAGTATTATTAATTAGTAAAGAGGATCTTAGTATTAATTTATTATTTCTTCTTATAAGTAGTAATAAATAATTAAAGCTTATTAATAAGTTAGCCGAGATTAGGAAGAGGATCCGAGACTATATATTAGTATACTAGTATACTTTAATAAGAGATAATAATCTTATTATATAGGAATTTAGTATTTTATAGGACAGGTACTAGTTTATATTATAATTTATATAGGTTATTAATTAGTAATTAGACGAGCTTAAATATTGTCTTTTTAGGGTATTAAGCTATTATAATTACTATTATAGTAGTGTTTTACTTATCTAAGTTTTAATATTAGAAACCAGGGCCTTTAAAGAAGCTATAAATATTTATATAGGCCTCTTTATATATATATTAAGAGAGCTAGTTATTATAAAAGTAATCTTATACTAGTTCTTTTAATATAGTAGGAAAAGCTCTTACTAATACTTCTTATAAAAGCTCTATATATTAGTAGATATTAAGGAAAATAGCGAGTTTTTAGTTAAAACTACTATTAGTTTTATTATATTTCTATGCCTTAGTATATATCTTTATTACTTCTCTAATTAGCTTTATAGTAAGAAGGCTAGCTAAAGAGCTATTTAAAGATAATAGAAATAGTAGAAGTAGTAGAAATCCGTTATTACTAGCTTTTTATAATCTGGTACTAATAGAAGTAATTATAGGTAATAAAGGAATATAAGTAATAATTAATTTAGTTTATTAATTTCTTATAATACTATTATTAAGAAATATATATAATAAGGTAATAGGGCCCGTATTAAGGTCTAGTTTAGTAATAATAATATTAGTTATAGTTCAGGTATATTACTCTTTTTCCTAAATAGTATTAACTAAGGACTATATAATAGTAAGTTCCTTATTATTTTATTTAATATAAATACTGCTATATTATAAAGTAGCTCGTAATTTATATAGTATATATTAATCTAGATAATTGAGTACTTTGAGGTCGAAATTACTAAAATCCTCCTTAAATAATTCCCAGAGATTATTATTAGTTAATTTCTTTATCTTATACTAGAATAGTCTAGTATTAAGGTAATCTAGAACTTCCTTATTATTATAAGTAATTAGGTTAATATTACTTTTCTACTTCTTTACTTATATATATTTATTTCATAATTCTGCTATACCGAACTTCTAGAGTCAAGCCCTTCTTAATATGTGTGTGATTTATAGTAAGAGAGGTTTAAAAGTAAAATAGTTTATAATAAGTTTATAGAAAGAATTCGGTAATAAAGGTATCTAGATACCTGATTTAGATACTAGATACCTGGTTTAGATACCAGATATTCCAGATATCTAGGGGTATTATAAGTATTAAAGTAAATATTTTACCCTTAAATATTTCGTCTATAATGAGAAATTTAGGAAGTGAAATATTATAATTCCGGAAGGGTCTAAAGCTTAAAGAACTCGATTTAATAATAAAATTAAAGTAGTAGTTAAAGAGCTTTAAGGATATATATAAAGTATATATTCTAGAGAAAGTATTTTATAGATATAGGTATTATATAAGTAGAAAAGATAGGTTCTAAGAAAGTAGTCTTAGGGCTAAAAGAAGTTGGTTTTAAAGAATAATAGATAGTTAAATAGATAGATAATTAAATGGCTAATTACTTATTAATTAGTAAGAACTAGAGTCTTTTTCTTTAGGCTACCGGATACTTTATAAAGTTAATAAATAATTCCTTTCTTTAATAAAGTAGTTATTAGTTCTTAGTAAGAGCTAGCTATTTTTTCCCTTAGGCTACCGGATGTTTTATAAAGTTAATAGGTAATTTCTTTCTTTAATATAGATTAGTTTAATTTTACTATAGGCTACCAGATACTTCTTTAGCTTAAAAGATTCTATTCTCTAATTTATATATATAAACTAATTAGTATTAGTTTACTAGTAATATATAATACTATTATATAAGTCGTGAAATGCTATTTATATATAGTTAGTAAAGTTATTATTATTTAGAAGTAAGAATTATAGTATTATAATATTAATATATAATCCCTAAATCTACTAAGCCTAAAGGGGTCTAGTCTATTAGTCGAGTTACTAATGGGATATAAGGTTATATAATTATATCCCGTATCTTATATCTTATTACTTATATCCCGTATCCCATATCCTATTACCTATATCCCATTACTTATATCCTATTACTCATGTCTTATTACTCATGTCCCGTATCCCGTGTCCCGTGACTACGCACGTGACTCCCAAAGAAATAGCTATACTAATAGTAAAATGGGCTTCTATAATATAAGATTATAATATATAAAAATAAGATATAAAATTAGAAAATAAAAATTAGTTTATTAGTTTCTAAAAATAAGAAAGAAAGAGAAGTAATATAAGTGAACTATAGACTATATAAATGTCCGGAGGTTATATAATAGAACTATATAACCCAGAAAATAAAATCCCTATTATAATATTATTTATAGTAAATCTAGTATCTTTTATATTATCTTTAATCTCTATTTTATTATTAGAGCAAATATAAATAAGATTTTTATTTTTATAGCTAGTATCTTTTCTTTTATTAATAAACTAAATACTATTTTAATTATTATATTTCTTTAGTCTTATTTCCTTTAATTCTATAATTACCTCTAGTAATAGATTTTAATTATATATATTTTTGGGTATTAATAAAAGCCCTAGCTTTAAATATAAAGCTAGTAATCTTAAGTTCTTACTTATATTACTTAAATATAATCTCTAATAAATATATATCTTTATTATAGCTAGTATATTCTTTATATATCTCGTTTAGTTTATTAATATTAATAGAAATATTATAATTCTTAATTTCTTTTTATTCTAAAAATATATAATTCTAGAAAAGTTAGCTAGAAATAATATATAAATAATTAGACTATTTTCTAATTAAATAAATACTTTAAATCCGGACGAATTTCTTAGTTTACTTTTATATAATAAATAAATAGACGAAAAGTATAGCTATATAATTAGAGAAAAGTTTATAAGAATAAAGCTTTTAAGAATATAATTACTTAAAAAATATCTTTTATTTATTTAGTATATCTTATATAATATTAGCTAATTAAATTAATTTTTATAGAATTAGACTAAATAAATTACTTTTATAACTTGCCTTTATTATACCTTAATTTATTAATTAGTTATACTAGTTCTAAACTAATAAAGATCTAAAAACTAATATAAATTAATATTTCTTATTTAATATATTATTTTATAAAGAATATAATAGATATTTTATATTCTTTATCTAATTAAATATAAAATAAAATAATTTCTATTTTATTTACTAAATTAAGATATTAAACTAGAATAGTAATTTAGAAAATATTATAAATAAATATATATTAGTATAATATTAATTAGATTAAAGAAGAATATAATATAGAGATTTAGGGATTTTATTATCTAAATTAAATATAAATTAAATAACTAGTTCTCTATAATACTATAGAATTATATAGCCGGAATTATAATTAAATAAATATTAGCTATTTCCGAGAAAATATATTTATACTAAATTAGAAAATAATACTATTTATAATATAATTATTTGGGATTTTAATATAAATCCAAGATATAAATTATAAATAGGTATTAATACTAGTATATATTTTAATATTATAAAATTATAGCTAAGTAAATATATTAGTAATTTTTAAAATTAAATATATTTTATACTTATCTTATAATAGCTATTAATAAACTAAATAAAGTTCGGCCTATAAATATTATATTTTCCTTTAGTTATCTTTATTTCTTTCTATTAATATTATATATTTTTAGGATTAAATTCCTATATTATAGAAATTATTCTATTTCTAGAAAACTTTTTATTATTATTTAAGGAATTGAAATAAGTATATAAAAGCCGGTAGCTATAGCTTTTAGTATTGCCTTATAGGCCTTTATTAATTATATATTACTTGAGAATATAATATAATTACTTCTTTTCTGGCTTAACTTATAAATTAAGTATTATGTAATACTAGTTACGTGGTGCCAATGCACGTGACTTAGTATATAGCCAGTGCTTTTAGCCTGGTATATAGCCTTTAGCTCAATTTAAGCTCTTTACTACTACTATAATATTACCTTATTATAATATTAAGTATT